CCTGTATTTGATGTACAGTAGTGTGCAGTGATGATTATACACCACCACTTCCATATAAAAGGGGTCCTGATGCATTACTTCTCTACATTTTTGAGTGAAATTGTATTGAAAAATATTACTGTACGGAATGAGAACAAAAAAAAAAAAATTCCCACAAGAATATGGAGGGGAGGTAAAAATGTGGGCAGTAAACAAATATACGGAAAACCTCAATTTTTTTTAAATAAGAATTGACAGGTTTCATAATTTTAATTTTTTTTTTGCATAGCCTAAATGCATGTTTGAAGGCTCATTCCATGATTATTGATGCAAAAAAAAATTTGTTTAAACAGGTTTGAGGCAAAATTGTTCAGCAAAATTACCTCTGATGGTCAGTTGTTCCAGTATATAAGGTGACATGAGCAGTGTCACAGTGTTACACGATGGCACGACGGTAGGAGCTCTCTGAGATTACCCGTAGCCGCATTGTGGCCTTGGCACAATATTGAGCATTGACAGCATAACAACTTTGTGATAATATCAATAGCTCCAGAAATTAAGAGATGAAAGTATCAGGAAATGGTCCGATTGGTCGTGTTGCTGACAAGAGCTGGCAACATCAAAAAAAAAAGACCCGAGTTTACCAAGAATTCAACACCGATGGACACCGATGGACTCATGCTCATGGAGAGGGAGCGGGCTAACGTTCGTTCCGCAAAGCCCACCGCTGTGCTCTACTGCTACGCAGTTAAAAAAAAAAAAAAAAAATCCCCCATTCTGAAGTAGCAGCGGACAAAATTTGGCGGCAGTAGGGCACCACTACTAAATGTATACAGCAGAAACTATGGTATAGCATATTTAAAAGAGACATAGCCCATTTCCTATTTTCCGATAACACATATACCAATCATCCACAACATCAAAACCACCAGCCAAATATTGTGGACGTTCCCTCGTGCCACAAAATCAGTTCTGTCAAACTAACATCCACTTGAATACTTGAACCAATGGTTTCCCAGCAGTAAAAATTTCCTAGAGCATCACACACGCTCCACCAGCTTGGCAACAGGATGCACTGTAGGAAGAAGGCTCACTAGACCAGGCGGCCTTCTTCAATTGCTCCAAGAACCAGTTCTAATGTTCAGGCGCCCAATGGGGAGCACTTTTAGAGGTGGTGGGCCTGGGTAACAACAGGCCTTCCAAATGGTCTGCAGCTAAAAGGGACCATTTACAGCACAGCGTGATACACTGCGTGTTGTGTCTCATTCTTCACATAGGCATCATTGAAATTCCCTGGGACTTGCGCCACAGTAGCCCTTCTGTTGGTTCAGACCAGACAGGACCTTCATTGCCCCTGTGCATCGATGAGTCTTGGGCACCCGATTCCCTGTCACTGGTACATGGCTTGTCTCTCCTTGGACCACTACCAGTAGGTGAATCAAAAGCATATCATAACAATGCCTCTATTGCCCAATTCAGCCAAAAGAAAATGTATAGATGATGTTGCATCACTCAGTTTCCCAAGCAACTGAATTACAAACAAAGGGACGGTCACTGAAATCCAACACCACATTTTTAATATTCCATTTTAGAACTTTGCTGGCATGGCGAACTGCCAACTTCTACAACAAAGATTTTTTTTGGTATAGGAGAAATGGATATCCTCTTCTATAATTATGCATCAGGAGGTCTTCCAGCAGCAGAGAACATAACAGTGATAAATGACAGCAGCCGATCCAGCTGATTTTTCAGCTAAATTCATTTTTAGTTATCAATTACACAACGGCAAACGGTCCAAGAGATGTGAACATGTTATCTCACTCTTAACAGCCAAATACTAGAGGTGAGTCTACCCAATGACTGATTAATCATTCAATGTAATGGCCAGCAGCTTTCAGTCACTGTATCTGGGCACGTGTCAGGCATCATGTTTTTTAGTACAGCAATTAAATAACAAAAGATATCAAAAGAAAAGTGAAGACATTATTTCAGAGGTGCAGTGCATAAGCATAGCCGCATTGTGATTCATAATGATCAGAATCTATTTTACACTCCAGTCATATAATGGCCATTTGTAAGTCTGTCAATCCAACTGTGGTGTAAAACCAATGCTACATAAAGAACTCATCCCTGCATGAGCTTTGGACTGAATCTCCAGGTTACTACTTATATAAATGTACGTAGTACTCGAGTTTTTGCCCACAGGCATCACGGTCCACATCCCCTCCCTGGACCAACAAGTACAAAAGCTTAATGTTAGTGAGCTACAGATGTTATGAAAGTTTTGCAATAACAAAAAGTTGAGTTACTTGCGAAAAATTATTTATTCAACCACTGAAAAACCTAGCACCTCAGTATACGGTATGTACCAAAATGTTGTGGCTTGCTGATCTGTAATAACACCAGAACATCAAAATTTGATACAACAAGTAGACATGGTCAACAACATCCCCCGCCAAAATGTCTTCTTTAAAAGATACTATGAACAGAGGCTCCCAAAAATGCCACAAGGGCAATAACTGTGGGAAAAAATAATCCTGAGCTTCTTATTTTCGAACTCCATCAGGGTGTTTATGGTGTTAAACTACACACCAAATTTGGTTATCCTATCTCAAATAGTTTCTGAGAAAAGCGGTCCCCTTTAGAGATACCGTGGACAGAGTGCAAAAATACGGATCAAGGGCTATAACTGCGGGAAAAATAATCACGCGCATCTCATTTTCGAACTCCATCAAGGCCTTTATGGTCTGAAACTACACACCAAATTTGGTTGTCGTATCTCTAACAGTTTCTGAGAAAAGCTGTCCCCTTTATCTCGGCCGGACGGACGCACGGACGGACGGGCGGAGCTCAAACCAATATCCCCCTCACACTTCGTGGCGGGGGATAAAAATACTTCCATGTCTATATGTATCATAAACAATAGAGAAAATCAAGTTTTCAGCAAGTTTTATCTGCAAATTTTGAAAATGCTCATGTAAACGGTTTGTTAGAGTATGCAAATTACACAATAAATTGCATAGTTATGTCCAAAGTCAAACATCTGACCCATCTGTAGGTGCTCCTACTTTTGCCATAGGCAAAATTGTTTGGCATCAATTGCCTCAACGACAATTTTAGTTCATTTGTGCCGGAGTGGACATTTTTAGGACATAAACAAGAATTATATAATAAACCTTTTAACCATGTGTTGGGTCACCTATATTGCAGAGTAGGTTCACCAAATCATATTTTATGTAAATGCCGAGTACGGCTAATTTAAATTTAGAGAAAGAATTTTGCTTACTTGCCAAATGTAAAAAATATATACAGGAACTAAAGTTATTCTTCCAAAACAGGCAAAATAATACTGCAAAGACAGTTCTCTTGTATCTCCTTAAAGTTACTATTATTATCTCTAACATTAGAACCCTGAACTAAACCTTGAATGTCATTAACACGGAATATTTGAACATGCTCCATATGTGTAGGAGTGGACAAACATTTGGACATCATCCATGGTATCTCCAACTTTGTCCGGGGATACAATCATTTCATTAAACTGGCCATAGTGGCTTCAGCAACCATGTATGTTTTATCTGGGAGACTAAAATGTCGTCTGGGAGCTGGACCAGGCAGATCATCCAGGCTACATAGCTAGAATCTCTTGAACAGGGAGTGTGTCCCTTTCAGGATTTGTGGGCCATATAAAATGATTCTGTCCAGCCTGGGGCTTCATAAAGTTGATAGTAGCTGATTAATCTTGAATGTCTTCCACTACTGCTGGAAGCCAAATATACTGGACAAAGAAAGTTAGGGATCACTCTGATTTTTAATATTGAAATATGATATGGAACATAATTTGAACTATCAAATATTTCAAATTCGAAAATTGGGGTGATCCCTAATTTTCTTTGTCCAGTATATTTTTACATCTTGTGTCGGAGTGGACAATCACTGGACACTGTGCTTGGCCTACATGTAACAATGAAGCATGTGACTTTTCAGAAACTTATAGTTACTAAAATTATTACCGCATATTTGCCTGTGTATTAAACAGAAAATGTCTTATATTTGGCAACACTAAAGACACACAACAAGCAGAACAAATGTGTCGGAGTGGATACGTTTGGACAGAAGATGTTTGGTACCTTGACAACAGGTGGAAGTACCAACAATGTAGAAGATTAAACTTTTACTGAATATCTCTTCATAATGTCTGTCATATACATCCAAAATAATGGGCTTCCCCATTCTGTGGCAATAGGTACACACCAATGTGTCGGAGTGGACATGTTGGATGGAAAAAATAGTGTAAATTAAACAATATGAAAGGTGAATAAATAGTTGCTCCACACTCAAGGCAAATAGCTTCCATTTTTTGTGACACATCGATCTGTTAGTATTCGATAGAAAATTTATGTGGACTCACACAAACAAAAGCTACAACAGTTCATGCAAATGATAAATTTTTTATGAGACACAATATTCCGTCCAATATTCGGACACATTTGGACATTATAGGAAAAGTACTCTGCCAACTTTGTTGAAACTTGGCATGATGATTGCTCATGAGCTGCTTTTCCAAATACATATCAACATCATCAGCCATACCCAGTATAAAGTAGGATTTACTGCTCATTTTTGAAGTATTGTTGATGGCCTAGGTTAGTGTAAAATTGCCCTTAAGCTTTTTCACAAGCTTACTTAATAATCCACAATTGCTCCTTTTTTAAAAGACAAATAATTTTATAACCCAAAATCAGATAAGGGTGGGGATGGCATGTTAAATGAAAATTCAAAAAGAAAGCAGCAATTTGTAGATTATTTTAGACCTGTATTACATTGAAAAAAAATGCAAAAGCACAATAGTTGATGTTTTCCAACATTAATTCTATTGATTTTTCAAAATAAACACTTGCAACTCTCAGTCTTGCACCAATTTTTTTTTTTTTTTTTTTTTTTTTTTTTAAATAAATGGGACAGTTAAGTATTGGCCACCATTTAATGTAGCCATTCCTTTTCACATATAGGGACTTTTGGCACACGGTGGCACAGTGGTTAGCACTACTGCCTCACAGCAAGAAGGTCACGGGTTCGATTCCAGCCTGGGGCTTTTCTGTGTGGAGTTTGCATGTTCTCCCCGTGTTCGCGTGGGTTTCCTCCGGGTACTCCGGTTTCCCCCACCCACAAAAACATGCATCATAGGAACACTCCAACCAGTACCCCTGACCAGGGCACTGGCTTTAGAACTGGAGTTGGTCCCCGGGCGCTGCTCTGTGGCTGCCCACTGCTCCTAACTATAGGATGGGTCAAATGCAGAGGACAAATTACCCCACGGGGTTCAATAAAGTATATCTATCTATATCTATATCTATCTATCTTATAATGGATCAAAATGCACAGGATTTGAGCTACGCCTTGCTTTTTTAGTCCATAAGTTTTCTGGTGCGGTGGTCATAAAAATGTAGAGTACAGACAGGGAGGACTCGCACTCAAGAAAACACAAGTTTCAAAAAGACTTCTGTTTAAGGACAATTGTAGGGATATAAACAGTTTTGCACAGCACTTTTTATCTCACAATGAGATAAAAAGCCTTGCAAAAAACTTAAAAAAAAAAATATGCAAACGTTTCAATTCAGTTTTTAACTGAGACAGTCTGAGGACTGAAACATTTGTGTTTTTTGATTGTGAGATAGTCCTCCCTGTCTGTACTCTACATATAGGGACTTATTACACCATGTGAATGTGTTTCAGGATTAACCAAGTCCCATTCTTCCTGCGACAAGACATTACCTCTTAAACTCTGATTTTTGCTTGAATATCCCCTCAAGTAGGTTCAAAGTAAGAAAAAGCATTTATTCCATATTCTAAGACAATGTCACATAGAAATTCTTTATCTGCTGGTTGCAGCCCCTCCCTGAAGCTACATCACACAAATTGAGTGAAAAATTCAAATACAGTATGCTATACTTTTATGGCTGCAGCACTGCATACAACAGAAAATAACTGGATCTTCTGCATCATTTTATACACATTTCCCTGTAATTCAACAGGGCATATTTAGGATCTTTGGAAACCTTAGGATCTCCGATTAGTATTTAATTGGTCTAAAGTTCCACAGGTTTGAACAAAGCAGCGACAATAGACAAACTCATGTATGGGATTGTAGAGTTGAAGAGGTTAAGGTGTGCAACAGCACAGGGTCTCTGTTGGCACATTTTGCGTTTCAAAATGCACCACACGTCCTTTCTTGGGGACAAGTTGGGACTGTGGACTGAGAAGCCCAGCACCCACACCCTCCTGTTATGTGGGCATTCCTTTTAATGCCTGCAGAATGTGGTTCAGCAATGCCTTGAAATTGCATGGGAATCCCTGGGAAATATGTGGTCTTGAAGGCAGCACATGTTGCTCTCAAATCTGTGTACTATTCAGCATTAATAGAGCCTTCACAGACGCACAAGTGACCCCTGCCAAGGGCACTGACAGAACGCTATACCATGACAAGACCATGGCTTTTGGACTTGCGGCAAGACACCGTCTGGATGGGCTTTTTCTTCGGAGGCCCAGAGCGCACACAGTGCCATTTCTTCCTGAAACTGACCACAGTACATGTTTGCAGTGTGATGGACCGTAACAGATGCCTCCGAGCCCAGAGAAGTCAACAGCACATTTTGGACACTTGACATAAATGTTTCTTTGAGAAACACTGGGCCTCTGCTTGCAAGAAGGAATGTGCAAACAAACAGTCTCATCTTTGTTCATATCCTCAATTTTTCGGTACCCAAATGATTTCCGGGATTCACCAATGTTTTCTAATTTTTGCTCTTCTCTTAGGAAAGTAAAAATTTTACAATTGGTCGAGAGCACTCGTATAAAGATAAACAAAAAACATCCCGTTTATACAGTCCACAAATTGTCTGTCCAATGCACGGACATATGTTTCACATTTTATGAACATAAAAAAAGCATACTGACATACAGTGCATGTCAACCCCTTCAGGTTCCCACCTGTATTACTTCCAATTAATATCTGCAAAATCCTTAACAAATCCGTATGCAAGGCACTGTGTTTTGAATAGAACTGATAGTTATATTCTGTTTGAATATAACCATTTCTTCATTAATGAAATTATAAACGGAGCGTGAACATTTCACCAAAATATTTTTGAATGCTTAATAAGCTTTACATTCAAGTATGAAAATAAAAAACCTTGGCCTCATACAACACAGTGGAAATTGCAAAGTTCGTGCCGAACATTTACACGCACCCGTGTCAGAAATCCTCTATTGCGTTCCACTCTGTAAAAATCTTGGCCAAAATTGCCGATCTCTCATCCACGTTATTATTCCACTCGTACACCATGAGGGAGATGGGTAACGTCCAGTAATAGCCAATGACAGCACTGCCTCGCAAAGCAAGCTCTTGATAATTTGTTTTGTGTCTGTATGTATGCAATGGATACTTTTGGTGATTATTCAGACTGTATCTTGTTTAATACAGTCTATATGGTCCTTAAGCAAGATGAGCAGAAGCTCCGAAAAGAGGTCCACTATGGCCAACGGAAAATTGTGTTGAGCCACAAAAAGACTCATCTGATTGTTCTTTGTTTACCGTGGAGTGCGTTTCATCGTTATTAAAATGAATAGCTACTAATAATTAATATTTCAATCAGAATTTATTTTCTAACTAAAGACCATCTGGAATTGATCCAGCCGCCACGACAGCAGGCAACTGCATGAAGCAGGGCTCGATTCAAGCATGTATAGTTATGATAAACAATCTTACACACCCATCATAACCATCTTCAAACTCAAAGTTTGTTTTTAGTGACATGCAATATCCTAAGGTTGAATCTATAATGGTTTCGATGTTATTGTGTCAACGCGAACAGACAGAACTTATGATTCCAATACCAGTTACGCCTCACGGCTGGTTTAACCAGCTACATTTCATGGCGGGGATCAAAAATCCGTGTGACTTTATTTTTAAGTCCAAAGGCTGCATAATTGGGGGGAAATCTTTATAACTTCCCGGCAATCTGTATAATTTGACACATATGTAATAGAATCAAATTTAGATTATAGAATGTTTCAAAGGAATTTTAATTATTGGATTATAAAATTTGTGGTTAAAAAGTACTATTGGTCAATTGATCCCAATTAAGACAATAAAATTCTGTAATATAACATTTACTTTAAGTAGATAATAAACAGTACTTCAGTTTTGCTGCTGCTGAAGTTGTTCTTCTTACAACCTTTTTTTTGGTGGGATCTCTCCAATTGTGCCAAAGTTGGCTATTTGCACATGGCACAACACTTGCCCTTATACAGTGTTCAGTGGCCATTACCTATACCAATTACAAAAAACCTGCAATGCACCCGTTTCAAATCACATATTCTTTAAAAAAAAAAAAAAAAAAAGTACCTCTTTACCTGTCCTAAATTCCCCCCCATCCCAAATGTTTTAGAATGCATTGCAGACTTGAATTGCAAATAAAATGAAGCTGACCACACAAAACATAAAATCTGGAATTTATTTGAGGTCAAAGTAAATTTAGACATCACTGCTTCCGGTTTTCATGTGTATTTTCTATACCATCCCAACATGGGGTGGCAATTTCAAACCTGTACTTGAAGAATCTAGGGTGACTGGTTTTACGGAGGCCTCTAGGGGAGGAGAGGTGGGACATGCCCAGAGCGTGCCCCGATTTCACGCACTTCGGCTGAGGAGAGGATCACATGATGTTAGCCGCAGCGGCAGTGATGTGTGCCGAATGGAGCAGGGAAGGCCGGGGACTTATTTACACACGGCAGAAAATGTGATGCACAGAAAAAACTAATTAACATTCCAGCGGTGCTGAAAAATGAAATGCGTAAAAAGCACGCGACTGGAATTGTGACTGGGCAATCTCACTCGAGGAGTCTTCACTGTTTCAAAAAAGCGATTCATTGTTTATGGGTTTAAGGTATCGTTCTAAATGTCTCCAGAGCAAACAAAAAAGCCATTACATTTACCTGAAGTCGAAATTTTTTACATTAAGGTGCCTGCATACCAGCATGAGGAGCACCAATATAGATTCATTTTTTAAAATTGTGCACAATATGGAGTTTTCTTAATGATGGACGGAGCCTTCCATTGCATGTCCCATCTCAAGACATACCATTAAATTAGTTCTGAACCAACAACCTATAGGTTATGCCTTTATGTTCATTTGTGCTGCACACAGCATGCTGTACAGCAGTCCATGTGTTTTACTGCCTGAAAGGCTAAAATGCACAAGTATAGAAAAAGATCAGCAATTTACAATGGACGCAACAATTATAGGCACTCCCGACTGAAAAAGAACTAAAAATACTTAAAATATATTTAATATCGTGAAACACAAAATGCCATGATGCAAGAAATACTGAAGAGCTGACCAAACCTCGACAGACTGCATGGGTGTAGCCCCCCAGTGCCCACGTGTGATTTCTTGAAACTCAGCCCTCTTGAGCGTTAACAATACATACACAGAAATGGGCACATTTCCAGCATAAAATTGTGCTTTATTCAGCCAATTCTGTTACCAAGGCAACCAAAATCGACAGGTGTCGTGATCAATCCATAACCTATGCTCACACCAAATATTAAAGGAATTAGTTCAAATTTGTGGCCTGTCGAACATCCACAAGAAAATCTCTACCGACGCGGCGACAGAGACGATGACCATGAATCTATGGTAGCCACCCTACTTCGTCCGATGGCTGCAATTATAATAATTAAACAAATACAAATTCACCAGAACTCAAGTTTCATTATTAGCACCCCTGGTTTAGCACTCGAGGCAACCATGTCTGGCAATGAAAGCAGATTTCCTGTACTATTTGGCAAGATAAACCCCTTGTTGCATAATGGTTACTCAAGTCACTGGGGTCATCCACCACCCTTAATAGGTAAGGAGGAGAAAAATCAAGTAACAAACGGTAAAGGCACACATTTGGAGGCATTTCTCCCCCCCCCATCCTTCAATGTAGATCATTTCAAGATCAGTGACATTCCTGCAATAGCCTTTATCAACTGTCCTCTTCAGTTCAGCGGACAGGTTTTTGAGGTTTTGAGGGAATCCATCCAAA